TTCCGAAAAGGAACACAGCAGTCTACATATAGTCTAGACTCCTTGGTTCTGCCACACTTTTCAGTCTTTCAGTCTGCTTTCAGACCAGTTCAGACCAAAACCAAAGCGGGCCAGGCGTAGCCGTAGCTAGCCAGTAGCCAGTAGAGCGTAGAGCAGTAGAGCCAGCAGCAGCCAGCAACCAGAAGCCGGCAACCAGCAACCAGAAGGCACGATTTGTCCGTTTCAAGGGAATGATGACAGAGAAAAGCGTTTGTCGGCGGGGATACGCGTCGATGGGTCGTCTATCATATAGATGAACGTGAACTTCACAGCGGCAACGTGAGACTCTCGGTACAGGGTTTTGCGAATTCAAGTCATCGTGTGGTCGTGTGGGGTATATATATGCAGAGGATGCAGAGTACTACGGCATTTGTAGAGAATGGGTTGAACAAGTGTTCTAACACGCTACGCACGTACGTGGACCTCGCAGAAGTTTGCACGTCTTGTCAATCTGTTTGTTCACGGCATTCTTCTTCTGCGAACCTACCTAGATCACAACCTATAAGCAGCGGGCTGTCGCGTGCATGAAGCTCTCGAGACCCAACCAATCCTCCACCTCACCTGCACTGTACTGTTACATCGGCGTAGGGGTGGCCCCAGACCTTGTTCCCGCCGAACTGCTAGCAATCTACCAGGAGGCACTTCGATACTACCGCCAGGTACCATCTCGCCCCTGGATCAAGCATAGAAAATCGTGTGCGAGCAGATGCGCGGCGGTGGTGATGGGAGAAGTTTGGCTGATGCATGTGGACGACCATGTGCTTTGCTACCGGGTGCTGCTAGGAGCGATGGTGCTGTCTGGTCGCGGCGAAAAGGCCAGCTCTCGGGACATTGACGCAACGTACAGGAGCTCCCGGTCACACAGGCCGAAACGGATAGGCTGGGGCAGGCGAGAATCGTCCACGTTCTTTCTCGCCATCCACGGTGGCGCTTAGCCTACCGTTGGCCAGGCATGGCGTCGGCATTCTGTCGGGGCAGCTGCGTGTCAGTCTTGTAGGCGATCGTCACCTGAATCGACCGTTTGTGTGTGATGGGAGTGTGCAGTTTGGAACGAATGGCAGGTTTCCGAGATCATGTCATTCCTCGAACCGTCATCTACGCAGGTACAGAAGAAAAGTATGATGTATCATGGTATCTGTCGACGAACTCGTGTTTTACTCAATATTGCGATACATCGTGTCCGTGGAGATATATCCCCAATGCTTTGACTATCCCACAAGGATATAATGGCCCACATATATATATAATGGAAGCCAAGGAGCTCGACCCGCTACACAACTTGTACGCCGTGGTCAAGAGTAGATGCGTTGCGGTAGATACACGCACAATGTTTGAGATGAGTTGATACGGTCAGGGGACGTCGTTTCTGCTGACAGGGTCATCTGTCGATTATTCTCGGGTCTACTCTGATCTTGTGCGAGTTCGCAGACACGGTATTGTCTTCTTTTGTCTTCCAAGCATGAATGGGAGGTATGGATAGTGGAAAAAAAAACAATAGCATGATATGATGATATCCCTGCTGGGGTACGAACATACGTTGAGCAGTGCAGATTGGGGAGTGAATGCCTGGTGCCAGAGGACGACGGAAGACGATAGTGTACCACGATGTAGGTGGGAGAGCCTTGAACGAGGCAAGGCGTCGTTTGCATATACAGCGCCCGGACCGAAATCGGGTGTTGAAATTTCAGTTGAAGGTACTCGACATAAACAACGAGAGATAGAATATGCAAGGATCAAGAAACCGACCAGACCTGGTTGTTGTTCTGACAAGTCTCGGCGAGATCACGACGAAGGCGCGATTGACCGCTACAAATAATGGTACAACGAAACGCACTCTTACGACGAAGGTCGAGGTCTGATGAAGTGTATATCGGCGATCAGCGGCAAAATACGAATTATCAATTACTGTGTTTTTCCAGCGTTGCTTGGTGCTGCCCTAGAACCCGACAGCTTCTCTCCACGTTCCCGGTGAGTCCAACGCATATCCAGCCCTGCTCGTTGCCTCGGTGCTGGAGCACAGAGAAGCTTCCCACTCGTTCACATCGCCGGGCAGCATCACCCCTCCTCCCAGAATCATGCTGATGCCCGTCTCGTCGTAACCGCATTCGGTACCGGCATTTTCACCAGCAGAGGAGGCAGAAGGAAAAAAGGAGTAGTTATCCTGCGCCTTCACCTCGCGCCTTCGTCGGTCACCGATATTTTCACCGGGCCCGGCAGACTTTGGCCGCCGCGAGTTGGCGCCTTGCATGTTCTCGTCAGTCTCACACGCCGTAGCTCCTCGACGAGTTATCGCTGCTGCTGCCGGGCCAAGCGTTGCTGCGGCATTCGCGAAACCACGATATTTTTCCCGCGTTCTCCCACCTGCAGCGGCGGTTCCATGGTGCTGAACTCCTGTTCTACGCGACGTTCGTGCCGCCAGGCTCAACCCTGCTGCCGACTGTGGTCGGGGCCGTCCTCTCGTCCCAACGCTTCGTTTGTGCCCATCGTGTGGTCCCGCTCGTCTCCCAGGAGAAGAAGGGGGGCGCCTGTCTGGAATCGCCGCATCCCCGGGGAGCACCTCGAGGACCGTCAGAGGAAGAAGCAAACAAGCTGGTCCTGCTGCTGCTGTTGCACAAGGAGCCGGCTTGGCGGCGGCCGAAGACTGGCACGCTTCCCGTGCCACCGAGGCTCGGAGCTTCGCGATTACTCGACTCGTGGTGGGCCTTCCCTCCTCGAGGAGGGAAAGCCGCCCGCTGTCCGAGGCTGAGAGCAAGCTGTTGCTGTCGCGCCCGTTCCCGACATCGAGGCCGACGCCGCGACCACCGGGTGTCGTGGACGACGCCTCGTCTCCTTCAAGCGGGCGAGGGAGCTGCACCGTCACTGCCGTCATCTTGTCCCTACCTGGTGCCGGAGGCACAAGGCCCGGAGGCACAAGGCCCGCGGCTGGCGCTGCAGTAGCGTCAGCGGCATGGGTGGCGTCGCCTTTGCCTTTGGTAGCTTCGTTCGCAACCTTGCCGCCACCGTGACCACACCCGCCAGCACCGTCTTCCACCTCAGCTTCTCCGTCGTCGTGGCCGCGGGCAGTGTTCCGAGCGTCGGCGTCGGGGTTGTCGGCGTCAGCGACAGCCGTTTTGACCTCGTCATTCCATGCTAGGCGGTACGGGGCGCTTCCCCTCCTCTTGCTTTTTTTCTCGGCATCGCCGCAAGCAGCGTGGCTCGTTTCCACGCACGGCACTTTGACCAAGATCTGTCGGGGTGACGATGGGGCACCGCGGCTGCCCCGGCTGTACCGCTTCGATGCCTGGTACGACCAAGCCGCCAGCACCCGCACCTGACCACCCCTCCCGCCACGCCGCTCCCCTCTCCTTGATGGCGATTGCTGCCCTCCTCCTCCACGCCCCACCCCTGCTAGAACAAAGAAAAAGGCAGAAGACGGAGGGAAGTTCCTCTTGTGTCGGAAACAGGACAGGGAGGATGGTAGTCGCACTCGACTTCCAGTCTTCCGAAGGAGGTATTGCACGAGTGACCCAGTGTCGCAAGGTCGAAAGTATACTCTATTTATCTACAGCAAGGAGGTATTTGAACGCAGGAGTGTAGGGCACTTACTACCTAGCAGGCTCGGAGAAGTGCTTAGAAAAACCAGATTGGGCCACGGTTGAGGGTGCCTTGGGATCAGCTGGTGCGAGTGTTGCAGAGTAGAAAAAGAGCCGAAAATTCTTCTCCGGGGATAGATTCATATCGAGACGGGACGACGAGGTAAGGTCCAGTAGAATCGAGCCGCTCAAAAGTGTTGAAATGAAGAAACCCCCGTTTTTGGGTTGGCAACGCGAAGTCAACTCTTGTTGTCGGAAAAATACGGCGAGGAATTTGTCGTGTGTCTCATAGAATATGTGTAAGCACAAAGAAAAAACGCTTGCTACTTTTTTATGTTAAACGGGCCCAAGCCAACGTCTCCATCCATCGCCAAACAGACTTGCTATCTTGGTCCGTGATCAGAAGGCGAAGGCAGGCCAATACACCAGTGCTTCCTCTTGCATCCCACCCCCCCCATTATTCGCGCCTGGTCTTCCGGCCCTAGGTCTCCCCCAGCCACACGAGCAGCAGTTCCCGCAAGTCCCCCCGCTTGGTGCGCCCACCGGCCTTTGAGGCGCCACTCGCTCCAAACCTTGTCGTCGCCATGCGCTCCCAGTCCCCCCCCGGCTGGTGATACCGCCGGGCCGCCTTCTGTTGGCCCCGGTGGCAGAATGAGGCCTGACAGGGGCGACGCTTCGTCTGCCGTCACCGTCTGTCCCGCGTCCGAGACTTGGCGGGATCCGGTACGGCCGCCCGGACGCTGTCCATGGCCGGGTCAAGGGAGCGGAGGTGGGACACGTGTTTTGGTCCTCCGCGCCTTCGAGTTGTCTTGAACGGGTGCGCCGAGCACGGGTGTGTCCGGGGGGTCCGTGGATGTAGGGGTAGTCGTCGGCGCCGCAGGTGCAGGCGCGAGCGCCGTCCAAGGCAGCAGCAGCCTCGTGCCAGCCGTCGCCGCCGTGGACATCGTCCTTCGACAGCAGTAGAGGTGCCGTTGGAAGAACAACGGCCCACACGGGGAGGGAGGCAAGAACAGGGGAGTACATATGCAGAACGTATTTTAGTTCCAACAGAATTTGAAATCGTGCGGAAGCACCCACGACAGTGTAGGTTGTAGCAGGGAAGACAATCGACGACGTTAGCCTGCTGCCACAATCCACACCCACTGCTTTGTGTCCCGGTTGGCACGTGCTGTGCTCGAACGCTTTTCGATGTCAGTGGTTGTTCCATGCATACGCCGTTGCACGTCTCACAACGTAGCTTCTCCCATGTGTTGGGCGATACCTCGGCATGAAAGTGGCAGGAATGAGACAACATCTGACCACACCGTATCAACCTGGCTACAAGACGACAAACGACACATTTCACCCGGGCTACCACCCATACCTGAGTGCAGCTCTCTGGCCCTCACCATGGAGGTTTGTGAAGAAACATAAAGGGGTGCAATTTTCACAGGGCGATACGTTTACCGCATTGGAGCGATCGCACCCGATACTGAATGTTGCATGTTTACCTAAATACTCCAGAGTATCGGATATCTTCAACCAACGGTGGAAACCCATCCACCGCTTGTGCTCGATGCCAAGCATGTCGTTCATCATGTAGCTCACCTCCTGTCTACCTTCACGTTGCCGATATTGAATTGCACATGATATCCAATCTTCCATCCATCCCCCGTTTTTAGGCTGCTGCTGAGCCGATGCCTGTGCCACCGCGAGAGTTTGCCGTAAAGAGACATGAAGGGGGAAGCAAGAGTCACGGCAGCACCAGACGACAGCGTGAGAAATGCGCAGCAGCGACAGATCGACCGAAAGAGAATCGCAGAAAGAGAGAGGAAATCTTCGTGAGGAAAGCCTCAAATCGATGTCGATGGAGAACACAACTGTGTCAAGACGAGAAGGTCAGATTTGCCGTGTGCCAGGCAGCCGAAGCCGAGAATCCTGGCCCGCTTGTGTTTCCTTTCGATCCCGACCAATAGAGTTTCAAAAGAAGATGGTGATCGTTGCGGAGTCCACGTTGCAGGGCCATTAACATCAACATTGCCATTATTTCGGGAACAGTGTTTTGTCGATGCAGGGTTTGACGGACGCCGTCTTAGGCCTGATCTTCTCCGGGGAGGAGGGGCGTGGCAGTACAGAGCCGTTGAGCTACACACGGCGTGAGCGCTAGAAAAAAGCGCGAGCGGTACAGCAATACTGCTGTAACGTAGCAGAACTTGGACAGCAACACTGTAGTGTATGTAACATACCCACGTCTGATGAACCAGTAGTCAGCACGGCCTGCCAGCCCGGTGGACAATGAGTACACCTAATTGAGCTTCAAGGGTCAACTGGTCGGCTCACCGGATGGAACATGTGTTTTAATCTGCACGACAACAACACCATACAATACGGTTGGACCGAAAATGTCTTACTTCTACATCACATTGTTGTCATGCGGAAATCTACAAGGGCAAGGGTGAAATTGTGCCGATCCCGGGCGTAAAACGAATCGGAGGAGAGTCGACACACAGCATGCTTCAGGATGTCATTGGAGGAGGGTTCACACAACTGTCTTCGCGAAAACAAAATCCGGACACATGGGCCCCACCCTCCCCCCCGGAGGGGGGAGAAATTCGAAAAATTACCACGAATCGTCGAAACGTTACCATCCATGAGGTCAGATGGGTTGCAAACATGCCTCGCTCTCGTTACCCCTTAAGCCGGCCCACGCTCACCCAGCCGTGCTACAGGAACACACGTACGGTAACGTCCTATATCTACACAAAAAGTACAGTACATCGGCCAAAGCTCGACATGAGCGAAAAGCAGCTCACAGCTGACCACCATCCAACACAACCACCTGCCTTGCAAACCTCTTGCCCTTGCCGCTTCTAGCACTGCAGAACAACAGGGAGCATAGTCTCGCAAATCTACTCGTAGCCTTAGTCTTGTAGGGTCACGTTTGACTCGATCAATCTACCCCGCTTACTCATGCGGACCCCTGCTTGCCAGTTCTCGCGCGGTGTCTCGCTACGTTCTCTGCGAGGGAGAGCTTATGTGTTAGGGTTAGGGTTAGAGTTAGGGTTAGAGCGCCGGACGCCAAAACGCCGACGCCTCGGCGTAAAACTCGGGGATACAGGGGTATACGTCCCCCCCCCCCCCCCAAATGACCCCCCCCCCCCCCCCACGGACCCCGATTTTCGATTAGTAGGCCTATGTGTCTTGAAATTGTTTTCGCGCATACCTTTGGTCCACACAGCATCCATACCTGATGCATCAACATGCCTGAAGTTGGTTTCGAAGGACACACAGGCCCCCAGCCCTCCCGCTCTAACCTAGGGACTGCGGAGAGAAATGCAGACCGACAGGGTTGCTTGTGAAGAGCTGGTCCGCATTATCTCCCGAGGGACTCGAGGTGGTTTGTGGTAAACGTCCAGGTTCATTTCGCAGAGCGCGATGCGAGTCACGCCGGATCTACAAACCGCGGGTTTGACGTACGGGGGGCGGCATAATAATGCATCAACACCGTGTTGATAAATGACATACACTGCTGTAGTTGCAACACTTCCAGGTACACGTCTGACCTATGTAGCACTCCCACCCAATCCAATCCGAATCCTCACCCCCCTAACATGACCATATGCCCGGTCCGATGGCCCAATGATGCGTCGGACGACTTCTTTCGCCGAGAGTTCGTGAATAAGAAAAAGCCGACGGTGTTCGCCCATCAGAGTGCAGCGTCCAAGTCAACCGCCACACCATGATTGACGAATTCACACGGGCCTTCTCGACATGTTGTCCACACCCTCACATCTTCATTTATTTGATGGGAGAAGTTCATCGTTTATGCGAATTTCTACTTCACGTGTAATCAGGGACCAGAACTCATGGAAATAAATGGAATCTCGCATTATTTACCGTGGCCCCAAGTGGTCCCTTCTACAGCGCGGTGGCTGCATGCACGAAGCATCCACCCGTTTGTATACCCTTTTTAGAATTGTTCCTTAAGACTAAAAAGACTAATATCATATCATGCACTACACCGTCCATACACTGGCCTAGGTTTACAGTACCTGTACGCACAGCGGCGGCAGTGTAGACCACATGTACACTATTATCGTCAGATTCTGTACATCAGCATGCACGGTGCGGTGAAATACGAACGAAGCGTACCTCGACAACAGTCACCTCCCAGTGTATCCTATTATGTACGTACAGCAGATATTGGCATCTTCTCGCAGGCCCCGGCGCTCATCATGCTCTTTTCACCGCAGGTTACATTCGGTCAGCATCGCCCACACTGAACGCCGCCAATATACGTGCTGGTGCAGCAACAGGGATGGGTGTCAATGACGTTGAGGGTACAGGAAGAGGTGTATGAGATTGATCAATGTATTTACTTTGTGCATAGCATACGATCTTGATACGACACAGAGTGAGTGCCGATGCACGACGACTCGCGAGCGTCGCCGAGATGCACACATCTGAAACCGTTCTCTCTGATTGGCTAAACCTTACAGTCTTTGAACGTCTTCGAATACCCGGGCAAGTGGACAAGTGGACCCAACAATGATGTGCCAAGGATGCGTCATATCACATCCCCCAAGGGTCTTGACGGTCGAATTTCTACCTTGCCTTTCGTCTCCCGCGGTGCTCCTTTGCACACGCTTGTCATGATGCCAGGTGGAAGCAAGCGACCCCCCTGCTGCTGTTGCTTCTTTTCGCGCATTTTTTTTGCTTTTCATATACAAATTCTACATGCTCGTGGACTAAGGAATAATAATAAAAAAACACACAGAAAGACTACCCATTCTTCTTTCGCCCTTTGGTGACTGCCTGACTGTCGTTCGTGCCGGTCTCACCGCTGCAGCCGACCACTTGGTCTCTAACACCTTGTGCGTATGCATACGCGTCCGCCGGCAACGACGAAATATGCGCGTGGAGTGGGGGAGGGACGTCGTTGGGGTCCGTGGTTTCCAAGTTGTGTGGTCAAAAGTGTTCCAACTGCGCTCCAAAATTCGCGAAGAAAATGAGCGTTGGCCATCGTGTCAATTATTCCAACACCTCCCACCTTGCAGAACACTTTTCGTTAGTTGCTACTATTTGAACTTCCAATAGATTACAGTCATGCAATGTGTGCAGGGATACAGAGTGCTTAGCAAGCACACACAAAACTATACGACCACGTAGTCTGTCGTATGCACATACATACATGTATGTACGAGTACAAACAAACGTCCGAAGGGTGGATGGGTGTCGTCTAGCTTATCTGTATCTAGCTCTATCTAGCGTACAAACAAACTTAGATGCAGACTTGCAAGACATACATGACGTAAGGTACGGGCGGGTAATAGCCAGCCCGCTGGCGTACACTGTACTGAAGCAGCTCGTTTTGTTGTACACAATATAAATAACAAGATCATGGCGCGGTGAAGGTTCAAATATTTTGAAGTCCGTATGCATGTACAAACAAGATGAGTCCTATGCATACATCCCAAAGAAAGGCGAGTGGCGTCACATAGACGTATATATATTTATTATATTTATCCAGTCTCGACAAATTACATACGCCTGCAGGCATCTTTAAAATACAATTACTTCTTTCTATATTATTTGTGCAGCGCGGAGGGCGGGGGGCGGGCTTGGTACGTTGAGAGATGGCGGGCAAAGACAACGGGAGTGACCGAGTAACGGTAATTTCTTCAAGCACGCACCCACGTGCGTAGTATTTATTTCCGTGTGTGGAAGGAGGCCCGTGAATGCCGCCGAGGACGCGGAATGACAACATCTTGTTGAGAGAGTCTTGTGTCAGCCTCTCAGATCGAAGTCGGAAGAAAGTCGCGAGCGTGGTACGCCACACACACACGCGCGTTTTCTGACAGCCAAGGAATACTCCAGTTCTTCTATGTACTACCAGTATGTATTCAGGACACTATCTGGGCCCAAGGCGCATCTGTCATTGCGGTGTAATTGCGGGAACCCACGGTTTGTTGAACCAGAAAATTGCTTGGCTTAGATTGTTGAACTGTCTTCAACGGCACTTTGCGTATTCCACCAACAACCGAACACAACCAACATGGACAGGAACAAAGAACTGCTACGTACTTTCGTGCCTGCAACCAACAATACGCCCCATGTGCATGCAACCATTGGCCCCTACCTATTGTGTCTGCGGCGGCCGCATAATATACGTACAAGTTCGGCGCACACCGCACAGCGTTAAGCTACGTGGCGACGTCCTCCGAATCCTAAACGCACCCACACACATGCAACAATATCCGTTCGGTGACGTGTCAACATTGCACCCCGATGATGATACCAATAATCACCCAATTTCCATTCACCTAACGAACCAACCTAGCCACTAACAGTTCGTCCAACGCAACGTAAACTTCTCAAGCCGACTAGACTAACTACGGCACAAACCACCACCTCTGCACGGTGATCGGATACGAAGATAAATAAAGGAGAGAATTCGGATACAACAATAACAATAACAACCAACAGCTGCGAAGAGAAAAGTGAGGCGTTCTTACGAATCACGGCCGGCACAATGATGGGTTGACCGTCGACGACGACACCAACCGTACATCACGGCTTTCTCTGCTAAAAGCAAACTAGCTACTTCTACAACACCTCGCCACATGACCCGCATAGGCGGTAAGGTAAGTCTATTGAGCGTTGTCTCCTCTGATTTTCATACAGTAGATACGCACACAATTCATGCCCTCCGAAAGCAAGTCCCGACGTGTAGGGGACCAACGTACAGACAAACGTTCTGATGGCACGCATCGCCTCGATCAGGTCAGGGAAAATGCGTAGTTGGCTCAAAGCACTTCTCGCTGCCGACTTCGAACAAGGACTTCTACCTACTACCATCTGATGGCCCTGACGCATTCTAGGTTGGGAAAGAAAAAACAATGACAAAAGAAACGCGGTACACGACAATCAGCCCCCTACAATTACATGAGACAAGCAGAGTGTGGCGGCGAAAAGAGGCTAGTGGCGTGAATCCCCCCAACACCTATCTTTTCAGGCACCCACTCATGTGCTGACAAGCCGACGACCGCTACTCCTGGAAATGCCCAGCCCACTCAGGAGAGTCCCCCTTCCCTAACAATGTTCCCGAAATTGGAACAACAAGCAATACACACATACGAGAACAAAACAAAACAAACTTGCTCCTCTACCGCCGTTGCTTGCTTGACAACTAAAAACGGGACATGATCGCTACGGTGAAACGTGCGGAAATACTAATCCCGACATGTGTGCGGTGTGCTTACATAGCAACAACCACTAAGACAAAGGCCCTCCCTGCAGAGTTTGGCACTCCCTCGTGGCGGCGAAAAAACGAGAAAAGAAAACGCGCGACGTCGGGTGCGCACACGCGCTGCACGAAAACAGAGGTACTGCAGAATTCCGTTACGGTGCGCAAGCGCGGCGACAAACACCAAGAGCAGTCGCCATACTACCTGCTGCGGCGGCCCTGCTATCGGAAGGACTCTAGCAACAACCTCGACAAGACAACATTGCACCTGTCGTCGACACTCACGAGCCACGAGCTTCGCTTAAATCCTTCGCGCACACACAAGCGTTCCGCCTCAACTCTTTGTCTCCTGGCCTGATGCCCGTAACCAGGCCTTGGACAATTCCACGGCGAAACGCTCTCACGAGAGCCCCCCTCCCTAGGGCCTACACTTTGGTTGCTAAAGCTACCATCGGCACAACATTCTACGAATTACAATAGGTGGAAGTGACGAAAAGCACCTCTGCCGAGCTTCGGCAACGCTGCTTAATGGAACACCAGGACATGAACCGCTGCTGAAACAAATATCAGGTACGCCATATACGTGCGACGCGGGAAACAAAAACAGGTACTTAAAGGATACACCTATCTCATAGTATGCCACATCCAAGCGCAAAAATGCATCAGATCGTGGCGCATTTACAGCTAATGAATGTAAATCAGAAAACTATCACAAGAGCATGGGAGACGGAGTCAACCCTTCACGAGCCCCCTGCAACAAAAACAGGGCATCGTCATATTGAGCCGCCCAACACCAACAGTAACACCTTGCACTTTTTTTTCGTACTTAAGAAAGCAACATCGGTCGCTTTCTCTCTCTTGTCTCTTGACAGTAGTCTCTCTCTGTACTTCTCTCTCTCTCTCTCTCTCTCTCTCTAAACGCCAACCCACACAATACGTACATTTAAATTTCCAACCCCAGATTTTCTTTCCCCCGTTCTGCTCATTTCTTCGACGTGGCTTCCTCCCGTCGAGGCACTCTACGCCGGCATCACGAGCAGATCGAGGGGCAAAGAAGAAGAACAAAAAAAATACCTTGTCGAGATATGGACAGCACGAATCGGCGGTTCCGTCTCGTCTCGTGACGTGGGAAACACACAATCGCACACAGAGAAAGACAGCGCTCACACCGGGGCTTTCAGTATGACGGCAACCTCAAGATTCAATCAAAATCCTTGCAGCACGAGCGGTAGATATTCCTGCTCTGCACCCCCAGCATGTACCCTCCACACCCCACCCCTCAACACCCTAGTCACACATACTACCGAGACGCGAGGGTTGGAAGAACTCTCGAGCTCACGCATCATCATCATTCATCATCATCATCGCGCGAGAGGTTGGCTCACAATGCTGTCGTTTGAGACTGCTGCTGGCCAACCGGCTTGCTGTCTACCCCCCCCCCTTCGCGTTGTTGCTGCTGCTGCTGCTGCCGTCCCCTTGCCGCCGGAGCCTGAGCACAGCCTTGCTGCCTCTGGTCTAGGCCCTCCGCGATGCTGCCTTGCAAGTACTCTCCGCCGTGGTAACCCCGCCCGGCGGCGTCTTCCTCTACCCGTTCGCCCCCGACGCTGCCGCCGGCGTCGGCGACCTCTACCCGGCGGACGTCCTTCCCCTCGACTGACCGCCGCCGGCGGGCGCACGGCACGAAGCAGCTGCCGGAAGACTGGTGGAGCCGCCGCTTCTGCCCTCCCCCGCCGCCGACGCCGACGCTCTGCCGGCGTGACGCGTCCGGCAGGTCCGGGTACGCCTGCACCGCGACGACGGGCGCCCGCCGAGGTGCCACCCGCTCCACATCCAGCGGCGAGGTAGATACCCGTCGCGGCTCTGGGCCCGCCCTCGCCGGAAGTGGCGGCGCTGCGATGTCCCACGGCGACGTTGAGACCCGAGGAGGCCTTGCCGCCGCCGCGCCGCCGCCGCGGGGTGAAGAAGACACCCGGCGAACGACGCGCCTCCCGGCCACCACGTGCGAAGCGACCGCCTTCGTCGTGACCGCTCCGTGCGGGCTGAACGTCGTTAGCGGCGAGAAGTCTTCCACCAGCGGCACGCCGCTGCCGCCGCCACCGCTCCCGATGCCCTGGTCGCCCCTGACGCCGACCGCCGAAAACGCCGCCTTTTGGAGCAACTCCGCCCCTTGAGCGACTCCGGTCGGCGACCCCCAACCGTCCTTGGCGGCCGTGTTGCTGCCGCCACACACCGGAGACTCGGTGCTCCCACGTGCGTGGCCGCTGGCGGCGGCGGCGGCGGCCGCTGCAGTCGCTGCCGCCCTCTCGTCGCTCACCATGGCGTCGGCGCAGGCCGCCACGCCGTGTACGTCGACGCCCCTCCCCGTCACCGCGCGGGCGCGCGCGTCGCACTCGCGGAGGAGCCGCCGCCGCTCCTTCCCCAGTCCCATGGAGTTGTAGGCGGTGGTCAGGGCCGCGACGGCGAGGGTGTAGGGGGCGTGGCGGAACCAGCAGGTCCTCGCGCGAGCCCTTTTGAGGTAGTGGGAGCTGGCCGAGAGCACGCCGGAGTGGGGCGGGACGCCCCCCCCCGCGGAGTTGTTGTCGCTGCTACTGCTGCTGCTGCTGCTGCTGCTGCTGTGGAGGAGGGCGGCCAGGCAGTGGAGAGCCTCGTCCGGGCTCGGTGGCGCGAGCCGGAAGTTGAGCTTCGAGATCATGTCCATTTCCAGCTGCTTTACCTGGAGAGACAGGGAAGGAAGACGAGGGGATCAGAAGAAGGTTTGTTGTAGCGCGGTCGACACGAGCCGGATGAGGGAGGGGGGTGGTGTTGAAGAGGGCCGTTGGGGCCGCGCGTGTCGTGGAACAGGCAAGTTGGAAATGACAAGAGTACATCGACGCCCCGTGCCCCACAAAAGAGTAATCCGTGCCCACTTCAAACGATGGCACACAAAAGCATCCACAAAAATCCAATGTGGTTGTAGGTAGGCCTTGTGCTTTGAATTTGAAACCAAACCAAACATCGGGAAGGCCGGTCGTCTCTCTCGCGGATATAAGATAACCGGCCACAAACGACGGCAAGCTCGTTCGGCCGAAGAATTTCCGCCGTTCGGAACCTTGATTAAAGATCCTGTTCCATCTACACATGTCCGACAGGCTATCGGGTCGTCGAAGACAAGGGAGGGGCGTGCAAGGCTGCTACTGCTGCTGTGTAAGTAGCGTGTTGCGGCACAAGATGGTCATGTCCACGGCTTCCAATGCCACGCTGCAACTCGCTCTGCAAAGTCGGAGAAAAAAAAGTGCATATCATTACCTGAAGCGGCGTAAACATCCTTCCGGTAAGGTTCGCCAAGCTTCTCATCCGGAGGGGGCACGTCTCGCCCATCTTCGACGCGATCAGTAGTGCAACGTACGCGGCTAGCTGTAGCAGCATGTGGTCGTTCACCGGCGTGACGGTGAGGGAAACATACCTAAGCAAGAGATAGAGCGCGAGAAAGGCCATGGAAATTGGCGGAGTTGAGAGGGAGAGCGAGAGAGAGAGAGGGAAAAACAGACAGGAAAAAGAATACGAGAAGGGATGTGCGAGGACGAGAGCGGCGGCTTGGGACGAAGACGAATATGTTCTCTGCCACGTGGTGTCATGCGTCGCCGGTCCTCTTCGGTCGCAGGAAAAAATGTGACGAGAGGATACTTGTTGAGTGGATATGCGCGAAGCAGGTGGCTACGGATACGAGGTGAATCCGACGAAACCTGCTGATTCGATCGAAAAAAGAAGGCTGCGTTGAGAGTTCCTCCGGGGGCGCCAAAGAACTCGACGCGACCGCAATACGACGTGGACACGAAGAAATTCAAGACGGCGGCCACTGCTGCTCACCTATCGAAGTGGCTCAAGGCCGCCACTACCGTCTCGTTGGCGAAGTCGTACGAAACGGACACCTTGGCAAACCAGTTCACGACGGCGCCTCGCATGTCGAGAAACTCTGCGTGTCGAGAAAAAACGGGACGCGTAGTAAGTGGGGATCATGCTGGAAGTTGTGCAGGAAATGGGAACGATGAAATAAACAATCGGCCAGCAGCAGTGATCTACGTTATCGCATGGGAAAAGATGAAGTGTTGCGGTGAATGCGCGAAATCGAGCCTCTACTGCTGTAGAAATTGCTCTGACCTCAAACATCATGTTCCTCCCTTATCCCTCCCCGAACCTGGGTACCACACTCCGTGCTCTCCTTTCCCGCCACGTGTGCTTGATTCTATTCAATCAAATAACCAAGCGCGACAGGTGGCCATCGCTGCAACAGTATTGTATGCGACCCAAGGGGACCACCACGGTCGTCCGTCAACCGCTGCTATCGGTCGGTTTTTTCCTCAGCGGCCGAACGAAACCCCTGTGCTATAACGCAGCTATGATATGTGCAAAAACAAAACATGCGGCGGAGCGGAACCTACAGCAGTAGGCCATCCAAACGTAGCCTACACCACATCCCTACTGACTACTACTGTGTACCACGGTTGGTTATCTTTCTCACCCGCGTCCTCCATGACCTGCCAGCTAGTCTCCAAGGGACGGTACGCGTTTGTCTTGGCGAGAAGGGACGTCAAGAACTCCTCGTGCGCTTGATCCGCGCTGCTATCACGGAAAACTTCCTGCTTCTCCTGCTGCTGCCAGCCGTCGCACGACACGCGCGGCAGTATTGTTGCCGGCACCGGAGCCTGACCCAAGGCGGAGACCTCGACGCACAGCAAGTCCGTATCCTCCTCGCCGCGAGGCAGCAGGCGACTCAGCTCGCTCATGGCAATGGTCGATAGAGCGCACGACCTCCCTGTGGGGAAGATGTGTGAAGATGAAGAACAAGATAGGAGAGTTGTTGAACGGTCGGTCGGTTGTTCCGTTGCTTGTGTGTGGCGTGGAGCGGGAAAGCTGCCAGAAAACGCCCACCACAGATGTATCCCGAGCCGCAGATGCGGTCCTGATGCTTCGCGACGACGGATAGGCAGCGCCAGGGGGTGCAGCAACCAAACCAAGGTGGTTGCACTTTTGTTCTCGCGTTGTTGACGTGGGTGTGGGTGTGGAAGCAGAGGGGACGGGAGCAAGGGATGATGAGAGAGGGAGTGATCTCCTCCTCCGTAGTTCTGACTTGCCGAGAGATCAAGTGAAACGGCGAGTGGGTCGGAGGTTCCACTTCAAAGCAGGTGGCCGGAGAGTGTATTGTGTGTGTGCAGGCAACCCGGTGCCCTCACAGGGGCAGGCGCGCGTAACGGGCAGGGACCTCTTTGTTTTTTGCGCGAACAGCAGGGCGGACGAACTGTCGCCAGCAAAATCAGACCACAAAGAAGATCTCTTATTCTTTCCCGTCGCCTCTTGCCGCAGCATCTACCGGCTCTTGCTGTCGAAACGGAACATATTTTTTCGACCCGTCTCGTTTCGGCCGTGAGCAATGTTCTGGAATTTTCCTACAAAGACGTTGTTTTTTGCGCGCAAAAAATCGGTTTAGTTTTTCTGTTGTTCTTCTTGGATGATCCAGACCCCGGGAATGGCAGGTCCTGGCAGTTTGGATCCCACCGTCTGTTCTCGGGGAGGTCTGTGCCCCCCCCATATCACGCTATATTACACTATATCACCCGATGTGTGATGCTCCGCTGCTGGCCAGCACTTGCGTGGAACCCATTTTGCACCATCGTTTAAGAACTTTGCCCTCCGGACGGTGAAATCCAGAGAGGCTCCCCGAAAGAGCAAAGAGATGAAATCGAGAAAAGAAAGACGGAAAGATGCGAGAAAAGACGGAAAATGACCTCATCCCCGTGCAGTGGCACCCAACATTTCTCCAGTCCAACGGACCGCAACCGTGCCACTTGCGTGTATCGATCGTTGTTGTGTTGTGGCCCGTCGTATGGCGAAAGCCTTAGAACGCCGGGCTCGGCAAGAACACTGATGCTGTCAAATCAGCACATATGTGCATAATGCATCATATACAAACATCCCTTCGAACGGCTCGCTCGCCATCTCGAACGGTAAATAAACTCTATTCCCCCTGGGTGCTGACATACGTTCGTCCACGTTCCAAATGAAAAAGAACATCTAGCAGAAGGTTGCGAAGTTGGAGGAGGATAGGAATCTCAGTCGGGAGGGCGGCCGGGACGATGCCGTTGTTTCAGCTTCTACAACAAACAGCGCGTGTGCGTCAGGCCATGGACTCCTCCTTCCTGTGTGCACCCTTCCAACAGCATACCAGTAGACTATAATGGTAGTCGAGCGTTGGCTCAGGACCAGGACTTTGGGCGCGCCGACCTCTACACAGACCAGGGCGCAGGGGGGTCGTATCCACAGGTCGCATGCAGAAATATGTAGTGCACGCGTGTTGGGTGGGTGCTTCATGGTTGATTTCAGATTATTTTTTTACAAGACAGCAGGTGGGTCACTCATCATTCGTGGTGACAGCAGTCTGCTGTACCAAGTCATTTGACATATCTATTGTATGTAATCGACGTGAGTGGTACGTCATGCTAGGCTGCTGCAGTAGTCACGATCCTGAGATTTTGATTATCACTTCATTTTGTAGGCGTTGGACCGCGCGCGTGATTATAACCTGCTCAACCAACCCATACGCGCGCTAATGTAGCTGGATAGCACGATAGCACCATGCATGCTGTTTCCGTGGAGGAAGCACTTCAATACTCTCACCATATGCATGAAAGCATAGCCCACGTTATATACATTTCTTCGGTATCAAGCACTTCCTCCGCGTTTTTTGTTCGGGATAGGCCGCATGAAGCATCACATGTCCCCCTCCTCGACCATTGCATAGTATGTGTTCCTATAATTAATGCCAATACGCCCTTCCTAATCATCGTCATTTTCCGATGCCTTAACAAAATAAATGCGGTAGCTGTTCGGGTCGGTTGGATACCTCCTTCAGCAACAAGGCTTCAAAATCGAAAATCGAACGATATTTTCTACAACTAACTACATGAATATTTCTACATGAATTTCTACATGACACTTCTCCTACAGATGACCTGACCCTTGGTCCACTTGCTTGACGTTTTTTCTGCAACGAACGGACGACAGTCGGTGTTCACCGGGGCGCCACTCCTTTCGCCCCCCTCCCCCCCCTACTCACACCGCTGTATTTTCTTTTGGTGCTCTTGGCGTGAAAAAGATGCACCCCCAACAACGCGCAACGCACAGCGCACAACAAACACACGGCCCACGTCAGCCCCCCCCCCCCCCCCCCTTTGCCTCCCATTCTTTTTTGGCATTTAAAAAAACGCCCCAAATTTGTAAAAAAAACAAAAAAAAAAAAAATAAATTCTTTTTAAAAAATTTAAATGGCTCCCCCTTTGTTGGGGTAAAATGGAAAAATCTTCAAGGATTCTTCCAAAAACTAAAAAAAAAAATTAAATTCCGCGTAAACCTTAAGTTGAAAAAAAGGGGAAAATTCCCCCCCAACGCCCCAAAAAAAAAAACATTCCCCTTTTTTTGCCCATTTTTAAAAGGGGGGTCCAAAAAAAAGAAAAAAATTCCGGGGGGGGGGGGGGGGGGGGGAGGGGGACATTT